TTGGGAAACGTTTTCTGTATTAGGTGTCTGTGTTTCAAGGATAGTTATGAGACTAAACATAACATTTTTAAGGAGGTAGATGAATATTCAAATACTAGAATAAGGATGGATTGTTTTGGATTGGATTGTCTAAATCAGTGGTTCTCAACTTTCCTAATGCTGTGATCCTTTAATACAGTTCCCTAACCATAGTTATTTTCATTGCTACTTCATAACTGTAATTTTGCTGATGTTATGAATTGTAAATATCTGCTTTCCTATGGTCTTAGATGACCCCTGTGAAAGGGTTGTTCAATCCCCAAAGAACCATCAATGCCCGTGGGTATCGGTCTGTATAATAAAATATTAGTTACATGACTGGTCAGAATTCTGAGCGTTTCCCTTGAAATCTTTAATAGCAAATACTTAAGCACATTTCGAATACCTAATACTAACCTTTGTCTTTCCTGTGCTGTTCACTTTTCTTTCATCCTTTGTTGAACAAGCAGAACAGGATAATTCAGACAACAACACCATCTTTGTGCAAGGCCTGGGCGAGAATGTTACAATTGAATCGGTGGCTGATTACTTCAAGCAGATTGGAATTATTAAGGTACGTGTGAAACAGTGTAGGTGCTTCCTCTTTACCTATATTACAGGCTTTCAGGTTTTACATGTTAATAAAAACAGCAGTCTTGGTTCTGGGTGGTGGTGGTGGTGGCATATGCCTTTAATCCCAGCACTGTGGAGGCAGAGGCAGAGAGATAGTTGGATCTCTTGAGTTCCAAGGCCAGCCTGGTCTACAGAGCTAGTTTTTCAGGACAGCCAAGGTTATACATACAGAGAGGTGGAAGGGGAAAGAATAAAGGTCTTGTTGATTGTTAATAGCAAAAGCAATCTGGTTGACTTTTTTTTTTGAGATTAGGGTGTTCACTATGTAGCACAGGCTGTCTTTAAACTTGGTACAATACTTAAACTGTTAAATTTCAGTAGAGCCCTGGTTGCACATATCTTTATTCCCTGGAGAGACAAGTGATCTCTGAGTTCAATGCCATCCTGATCTACATAGTAAGTTCCAGGACAGCCAGGATTTTGTAAAGACCATGTTTCAAAAAATAAAAATTAATTTGAATGTTGGGATTGCAAGTGTGTGCCTCTTGTATCTGGCAAAGCCAAAGTCTAAAAGGTTGTCGCCACCTTAATTTATTGAGCAAAGAATATTTTGTTGTACTTTCTAAGAGAAACCACAAAAAGATAGGTCTGATGAGGGAGGTACTCAAGGGCACAGTATAAACCAGGGCTTAAGTTCATGAGAGGTAAGAAGAGTATCTGGGAAGAGAGGAGCCCAAGTTCAGAAGTAAATCTCAGGAATGATGGAGGGTCTGTGTTTCCATAGGCTCTACATTGGTAGATTGAACCCACTTTAGATCATGTTAATTTTGAACTTGTCCAGACTAAAATAGTATAACATAACATCTACAGAACCATATTCTTTTTTTTTTTTTTTTTTTTAAGATTTATTTATTTATTATGTATACAGTGTTTTGTCTGCACATATCCCTGCAGGTCAGAAGAGGGCACCAGATCTCATTACAGATGGTTGTGAGCCACCATGTGGTTGCTGGGAATTGAACTCAGGACCTTAGAAAGAGCAAGCAGTGCTCTTAACCTCTGAGCCATCTCTCCAGCCCCAGAACCATATTCTAAAACAGTATGCCATAACTGTATAACATTACTATTTAGGTATTGTAAGTAATGTGGAGTCTTGCCTAGAGATTGAACCCTGTGCTATTTTGTGATTGCTAAGAAAGTACTGTAACCATTGAGTACATTCAGTCTATACAGATGATTTAGAGAATACAGAGTTGTGTGTAGGTTATATACAAACACTAAGCTAAAACCTCCTTGTATCTTCTAAAAATTGATGATTCATTTTGTTTTCTTTAGACAAATAAGAAAACTGGACAGCCTATGATTAATTTGTATACAGACAGGGAAACTGGCAAGCTGAAGGGTGAGGCAACAGTCTCATTTGATGACCCACCTTCTGCTAAAGCAGCTATCGACTGGTTTGATGGTATGTATAAGAGATGATTCAGTTTGGTTCTTGTAACATATGGGCCATGAGGATGGAGCTTGGGTGATCAGGCTTGGCAGCAGTCAGCGTTACCTGCTGATCCATCTTGTGTACCTTTGACACTTTCTTGATGTGTAATTTCAGTGTAAGCTCCTTTGTTTATGTTTCATTAGTTTATAAGTCATCTTAAGGCAGTCTGCTCTTAGATTTTTAAAAATTTTAATTCATGTTTATTTTTATTTGATGTGCATTGATATTTTTGCCTGCATATATCTCTGTGAGGGTATCGATCCCCTGGCACTGGAGTTAAAGGCAGGGGCTAGCAGCCATGTGAGTGCTGGGGATTGAACCCAGAGAGTAGCCAGTGCTCTTAACCACTGAGCCATCTCTCAAACCCATTTCTCTTAGTTTTTAAACGTGTTTTAGATCTGTAGGTTTAAACTCTCAACATTTACTGTAGATCTGTACATGCCATGGTATAGGCAATAGAGAGAGGTCAGTGAACAAACGATGTGAAGTTAATTCTCTCCTTCCACCGTGTGGGCTCATGGGATTGAATTTAGGTCATCAGGCTTGGTGGCAAGCACTCTCACCCACCTAGCCATCTTGCTCTCCCTGATTTTTTATGGTGCCTGGGGATCTAAACCAGGCCCTTGCATATCACACTGCATTTTATATTCCCTGCTCCCAAATCTTTTCATATTTACCTTTATATTTTTTTAAATGTATTGATTTTTGAAAATTAATTTACAGCGGAGCTGGGTGTGGTGTTTTTAATCCTAGTACTCAGGAGGCAAGAGGCAGGTGGATTTCTGAATTTGATGTCAGCCTGGTGTACATAGTTCCAGTACAGCCAGAGCTAAATAGTGAGACCCTGTCTCAACCCCCCAAAACAAAACCTTAACATGTAATAGATTTCTTTCAACATAGGGTTTTCAAATATATTTCATTTTGGTTAATTCACCCATCTTTATTTCTTTAGGTAAAGAATTCTCTGGGAATCCTATTAAGGTTTCATTTGCTACCCGCCGAGCTGACTTCAATCGTGGTGGTGGAAATGGTCGTGGAGGCCGAGGGCGAGGAGGTGAGCCATTTACTTTTTCTGGTTTAAAGAAGTCATCAAGCACAATGTGGAAGAAGAGGAAAAGAAGTTTCATGGAAAAGGTAGACTAACCAAATGAAGGAAATACATTCATAATTATATTTGTACTAGGACCTATGGGCCGTGGAGGCTATGGAGGAGGTGGCAGTGGTGGCGGTGGCCGGGGAGGATTCCCCAGTGGCGGTGGTGGAGGTGGCGGACAGCAACGAGCTGGGGACTGGAAGTGTCCTAATCCGTGAGTGAATTTAGCTCTTTTTAAAGAATTCTTATGTGCATGATCCTTGATACTACGTTAAGAGTTAGGAAGATATTTTTTTAAACTAAGATCCTGTAGATGGAAGATTAGGCCAATAGTTTATTTAGGGAGGGTTAGAATCTTCTAAGTGAATACCTAGAACTCCAGCTGTTGCTTTCCTATTGCTGTGATAAAATGCCATGACAAAGGCAATTTATAAAAGAAAATGTTTAATTTCTGGCTCGACGTTCACAGGGTAAGAGTGGAGACTAATCATGGTGGGGACCATGGGGACAGGCAGGCATGACATGGAGTAGTAGCTGAGCGCTCATATCTGGAGATAAAAACTATCTCCGAGGCAAGAGAGCAAGCACTAACTCTGGTCTTTTAAAGTCTCAAAGTCGGTCCCTTGCCTGCCTGCTTTTACTTCCTGATCTTTCCCAATACTTACATCAACTGGCGACCAAGTATTTGAATGTGAACCTAAGAGGGCCATTCTAATTCAAACCATAGATGGAAACCTACAACTGAGATTCTGTGTGGGTAGGATAATGTAGGGTAGCATTGGTGTCCTGGACAGAAAGGTGATGGATGACTCGTGCAGACCTAATGGAGTGAGACTAAGATTTCAAACATGAATTACTGAAGTGTTGTGTTTGAAACTGAGCTGTGGCAAACTTTACCATGGAAAGGAGGCTGTAGTGGGGAAAGGTAGTGGTCTAGGTTTAGTAATACTTTTTTTGTTTTGGCTCCTACTTGAGAAACAAGGCTTTGGAGTCTTGTGAATTCAGTGATCTGGACTGCACTCTTCCAAATTGATTCCCTTTCATTTCTTTAGAACATGTGAGAACATGAACTTCTCTTGGAGAAATGAATGCAACCAGTGTAAGGCCCCTAAGCCAGATGGCCCGGGAGGAGGACCAGGAGGCTCTCACATGGGTAAGAAGGGAGCATAGCTTGTTACAGAAGTCCAAAAAGTACTCTATGCTTTTGATTTGGAAGGGTAGTGGGAGGGAAGGTAGAAGAACAAGGATATATGTCATTTTTTCTGTCCTAGGGGGTAACTATGGCGATGATCGTCGTGGCAGAGGAGGCTATGATCGAGGCGGCTACCGGGGCCGAGGCGGGGACCGTGGGGGCTTCCGAGGGGGCCGGGGTGGTGGGGACAGAGGCGGTTTTGGCCCTGGCAAGATGGACTCTAGGTGAGTAAGTCTAAATCAAAACAAAAATAGAGAAATTGGTCAGAGGTCGGGAGAAAATAAGGTTTTGCCAAGTGATTTCCTAGGAAAGACAGAGCTCAGCTGGTTACATTATTGGGAAGGGGGAGTAGAAGAATTAGGAACACAGTCTTCAAAAAAGTCGATTGTTGGGTATTGGGACAAGTAGGACATTTGAAGGGTGTGTGCATGGGTAGTCTGGTGTAACTCATATTTAACTGATAATTCTTCTTTCAGGGGTGAGCACAGACAGGATCGCAGGGAGAGGCCATATTAGCCTGGCTTCTGAAGTTCTGGAACAGCTCTTCTTCCTGTACCCAGTGTTACCCTTGTTATTTTGTAAACTTTCAATTCAGGATTGCCCATGGATTTTTTTTTTTTTTTTTGGTGTGTGTGTGTATGTGTGTGTGTGTGTGTGTGTATGTATGTATGTGTGTTGTTTGTGTCAGACTACCATAATTGTAACCATATCTCTGGTTCCCATTAAAAAACATCATTTTAGTTAAAGTCTGTTGCTGCCCCCAGTTTACTTTCTGGAGGATGGGTCTGTGTTAGGAACGTGGGGAAATATTCCCTCATATCATCTTGCATAGCAGGAATTTGAATAATTGTTCCTATCTAACATAACCTTGATTGATGCAACATTGAAAAGACAAAAGAATTCTTTGAGTGGTTTCTAGGAAAGAGGTAAATGATTGGTACCTAGTTTTCAGGAAAAGGACCATGCATACAGTGGTGTAGGTGGATCACTTTTAAATCCTGACTTCTTCTGTAGGTCATTGATATTTTGAAATTTGATGTTTTGAACTTAGTCCTATTTCAGCCAGGTGTAGCATGAATTCTAATTGGTCTTAATAAAAACCTGGAGCCAGGTAATTAGGGTAAATGCTGAAAGATCAGAGAAGCAGAGCAGTCAGCCACTAGAAGACTTCTTCCTCTACTGAATCCTCAGACTGAAAAGACCCGAGCTCCTGTTTCCACCCTGCCTTACCATTTACCCTCTCTGCCCAGTGATATTTCTGTCTCCTCCTCCCAAGTGCTGGGTTTAAAGGTGTGTGTCACCACTGCCTGGCCTGTAGTGGCTAGCTCCATGCAAGCTTTATTAAAGCACAAACAAAATAATCACATTTCTCCCTTTTTTGTCTAAAATAAGGTTATAACTAATGTAAGGAATGATATACAGTAAGTACAATAACTATTCAGTATATACAGTCAAGTATTGCATTAACAGTGTCCAGTCCATTAACATTTGACAAATTCAGAGGAAATACCCCATATCTGTCCTATCTTGGTGAGTCCAAAGTGTACGTAATTCATTTTCTGTCCTAACTTGCATTACCAAAAGTATTAATGTCTCAGTCTTACACATTTTACACCTCTTTGGTGAGTTTCTTTTCTGAATCTGGTAACAAGGAAAACTGTAAATTCAGCTCCACCAGAGACCCAAGAAGGAAATATTACCTGAGTAAGTGGGAAGTGCAAGCAAGAGACTTCCAAAAAAATTCGAGAAATGACAGAAACAGCTGGCTGCCTACACAGTCACCTAAGGTTCCTTTGCAACGTTGGAGCATTCATCTTTGCTTTACAGGCCTGGAATATCTGACAGACTTTTCTGTGAAGCAGGATATTCTCCTACCTTGTCTTAGCCAAGTTTGGCAGTCCTTTTGTGTCCTACTTGTCCCATTGGGACAGCATACTGTCAGCAGTTGAGGCAAGGGCATTTTCTTGCCCAGTGACTAATTTTTGCCCCAAAGAAAGTAAACTATATAGAGTTTCCTGGATGCCCATCTTTGAAGTAAAATTGGTGCTGCCAGGAACAGGCGCATGTCTCATTGTCATAAAACAAGAAAAAAAACCTGTTATTAAAATACCTTAAATGCCATATTCTGTAGATCTCTAAGTGTTTGAAGATAGCTTATCTAAATATATGTTTGACCTTGAAAACATAACCTACCATGACTACAAGTTTGATTGTAACATGACTACTAACCTGTATTTCTTTATATCCTAATTAGTTGGTAATAATAACTTTCAAGGACAATAAATTTTTAAATGAGTTGTATAGGTACAATATCTTGAACAAGATTTGAAATGTATGTACAGTTCTAACAAAAACCTCAAATTTATATCAATATACAAAGATCCATATCAAATGTAAAATATTTAAAACTAGTAGTTGCTTTTTGGTTTAAAAGTAGATTCAGTAATCTACCCTTATTCCAGCATATCTGTATCTCCTTTTTTCAAAGTAGATTGAATAATCTACCCTTTCATCCTATCAGCTAGGATTATAGGACTATGGTAATTGTGTAGCCCTGGCTCACCTAAAACTGCCTCCTGGGTGCTAGGATTGAAGACGCTATTCTTGGCTACAGTTCCTCTTAAGGAAAGTTGAATGATAAAAGGGTCCTCAGTGAGGAGCTAAAACATCGTAACCCCCAGCCTTTTCACTTGATGTGTTTAGTAACTTGTCCCTGTTGGGCAACAGTGTTTATATTAGCATATAGAACTGAAAACTAGGTATAGTAATCCCAGCACTGGTGGCAGGGTTTCCAACTTGATTGCTCTCTGGCTACAAAGTCCCAAAGCCAACAAACCAAAACCAGTTGGGCGTGGTTATGGATTTCTGTAATCCTGGTACTTAGGTGTGTGGAGGCAGGAAGATTGGAAGTTCAAGTCCAGCATGGACTTGCTGTCATGCCAAAAAGGTGGGGGGGAGCATCCCCCACCCCTGCCCCCCCCCAAAAAAAAATCCAAATAGGTCAGTAAGAAATTAGTGTCAATAGGCAAAAATCTTAGAATGTAGCCCAATACAAAACAGTAAACAAAACATGCTCTTTTATTTTTGTAATATGCTTTTTTTTTGTTTGTTTTTTGAGACAGGGTTTCTCTGTGTAGCTTTGCGCCTTTCCTGAAACTCACTTGGTAGCCCAGGCTGGCCTCGAACTCACAGAGATCTGCCTGGCTCTTCCTCCTGAGTGCTGGGATTAAAGGCGTGTGCCACCACCGCCTGGTGTAATACGTTTCTTAACAACGTGTCACTGTTTCTGGGATTAAAGACGAAGTGGGTATCATGCCCAACCAACTGCATGGTTTTTGAGCATGAACTTTGTATTTGTAGAAGACAGCATCAGGTCACAATGGTAAAACTGCCTAGAGCAAAGACGGATTTTGTGTTTCGGTTGTACTAGTTTCTATCCCACAATCTTTAATATTGGACAGCTCTAGAGCTGCTCATTAATTTGTACCTCCTGAAGGTTTTTTTTGACCGTCTTGTCATTTAACTTTGGCAGGCCTGGTAGCCTGTGCTATCCTTAAATATGTATGAATCCTTCAGTTTTCCCAGTGCTGGGATTACAGACAGGCACCATGTCAGCACAAAGTAGGGCTTGATTTATGATGCCTGATGAACAGTTTGTATACAGAAGCTATTATCTGAAGCATGCCCTACAGATGTGTTGAGACCTATTGTTGGGAGGTGCTTTCTTGCAGAGTTTTTTTTTTTTTTTCCTTTCCTCTTCAGCAGGGCTAGAATTTCTACTGAGCTACCATCCTCAGCCTTATGTTGAAGTTTATGCTGAAATGTGTTTGTGAGAGGAGTTTCTTGATGGCTTTGTTAAAGGTTCACCTGTGAGTAGGCATGCTTTAAGGTTAAAGGCCCTGAATGTTTTGGGAAGTGTATTAGTCTCATTAAACTTGGTACGTGTGCAAATCTTCCATGCCTGGATAAGAATCCTCAGCTAAGCTGTAGTTAGGCCCCTGACTCTGCTTATTTGATAGGCTGTTTATTTGATGTGTTAATTTGGTTTGAGAAGCCTAATGGATGTGTACTGCTGCTGCTTCACCTATTAGGGTTCTAATACATTAGAGTTTGGTTGTGGTTCCCTAATCCATGCAGCTAGAAGAAATGAAGATTGAAGCTTTTTTGTTTCTAACTAAATACTTCATTTTGTTTATGTGTATGTGTTGTCTGCATGTGTTCTATAGGTGCATGCAGAGACCAGAAGAGTGATTCCTTGGAGGTAGTTTCAGGCAATTGTGAGCCACCTGCTATGGCTGCTGAGAACTAACCTCGGGTCCTTTGTAAAGACCAGTATGTGCTTTTTGTTTTGGTATTTTGAGACAGGGTCACTATATAGACCTGGCTGTCCTGGAACTTGATCATTATGTGCTATTGACCTTGGAGCCTTCTCTCCAGCCCTAAGGTTGAAGTTTATTATCAGGTAACTAGTGCCCAGTGATTGGTAGTGGTTAGGTCCAGCATAGTCTGTGGGTAGATGAGGAAATAAATGGATAACAAGACAATTGGTTCTGGTGCCCAGTCATCATTGATGACAAAATTGTGACACCCAGTGGCGTGTTTGGTTTTTTCCTTCCTGGTTTTTGGAGACAGGGTTTTCTCTGTGCAATAGCTCTTGACTGTTCTGGAACTCGCTTTGTAGACCGGGCTGGCCTCAACTCGGCTGCCTGTCTCTGCCTCCCGAGTGCTGGGATTAAAGGCAAGTGCCACCACTGCTTAGCTGCATTACTTGTTTGAATTACATGTTGAGCTATGTCTTTCCCCCATCTTATAATTGATTTTATTTTATTTAAGTGATTTTTTTGAAAGATGAGTTTGTATTTTGAGACAAGGTCTCTAGCTTCATACAGAAAGACTCTCACTGTTTAGGCCAGGCTGGTCTTGAACTTAGGTATCTCAGATAACTGCTTACCTCTTCCTCCAGAGTGCTGGAACTAAAGATGAGCTCCACCACCCCTGGAGGTTTACTTTTTAATGTGTAGTTGTATATCAGGTGTGGGTGTTCTCATGTGTCAGTGGAATCATGAAAGGAGGCACCTTGAGGATGAATCTTTAGCCTTTTCCACCTGCAGGGTGGATTGTCTCGACTGAACTGCCCTCCCTGAGCAACGGCACCTTTTATTGTTATATAATTCACGCCTTTAATACGTCAATTCCAAAGTCTTTGACCTAAGCCCCTCAGAGGGACAACGCCAAATGTAAAACCTCAGTAAAGAATACCAGTTTTCTGGGTTGTTCCTAAACTTAAGTTTGCATAGGCTTTGATCCCCTAGGAAAACACTGAGAAGGTATGGAGACAGGAGGTAGCAATCACAAAAGGCAGATCAAAGCTAGGTGTTAACACTGGAGAGTCAAACTGGCTGTTGGCTCTGTGGGAATTCTTCAGTCAAATATTTGCTTGCATGTATATGTGCACCATGGGTATTCCTGGTTATGCACGGTGATCAGAAAAGGGCATCAGCTCCCTAGACTTGGAGTTAGGGATGGTTGTGGGTCACCATGTGAGTGCTGAGAACTGAACGCAGGTTCTCTGGAAGAGCAACAAGTGCTCTTAACTGTTGCCATTTCTCTAGCACTCACACCCCCCCCCCCCCCCCCAGTAGAGTCTTAGGTAGCCCAGACTGGCCTTGGACTTGCTAGTTTCTGAGGATGACCTAGTGCTCCAGTGATTAGAACTGTTGAGGGAGACAATTAATGTCTGGCCTCTGCACAGACCTGTGCACACATGAAGGTATATCACATGCAACTCATCTGCTCGTCATAGTGGTTCATGCCTGTAATCACAGCACCTCTCTCAAAATACTCCAGACAAACTTAATTAGCTGGCGTCTTAGCATAGCTTAGCTTTTTGAGTACTGCAAAAGGAGGGTATTGGACATGCTTTTGTTTATTCCATTTTCTTTGGTATATGCCCAGAAGTGATACTGCTACAATACTTAGTTTTAATGCATTTGTTGGGCTTTTGGAGAACAAGTGTGATGGCACATGCCTGTCATCTTGGTTGGCATTCAGAAGCCAAAGCAGGAAGACCACAAGTTGTGCTGGCATCCAGAGAATAGACTTAAACTTAGAGCATGTTGGCAGATTTGATCTCAGGGATTTTTGATGGTTAGCAGTTCAGAGCTTTGGGAAATAATTGATTCTGAAGTTGTCAGAATTCATGAGTCTGGAATAAGAGGGATCTGGCAGACTAACACTCCTGCTAATACACAGTGCTCAGGACTCTTGGATGTAGTGTTGGTTTTGGGTATTGGTGTATTGTGTGTGCTGGGAGGAGAAGGGCTTTGTTGAGAAGCAATTGAGTGCTAGCCAACTTGTTGGGATAAACACAGAAACTTGTGTTGTTTGGTTGAGTGCTGGTACTGTAGTGGAAAGCCAAGCTCTGGGCATCCTTTTAAGCACTTTAGTTTTGCCAGATGGTGGTGATGCACGCCTTCAATCTGAGCAGGCAGAGGCAGAAGCAGATGGATTTGAGTTTGAGGCCAGCCTAGTCTACAGAATGAGTTCCAGGACAGCCAGAATTACACAGAGAAACTCCTGTCTCAAAAAATGAAAAAACAAGAGGGCTGGAGAGATGGCTCAGAGGTTAAGAGCACTGATTCTACTTCCAGAGGTCCTGAGTTCAATTCCCAGCAACCACTTGGTGGCTCACAACCATCTGTAATGAGATCTGGTGCCGTCTTCTGGCCTGCAGTCATACATGCTCTATATATAATAAAATAAATCTTAAAAGCAAAAAACAAAAAAACACGAAAAACTTTGGTTTTAATTTCCACCCCATCCCCTCCCCCAAGTCTACTATTTATTTCTTTTTTTTTTGAGACAAACTATGTAGCTTTGGCTGGCCTGGAACTCCCTATGTAGACCATACTGACCTTGAACTCATGGAGACCTACCTGCCTTTGCCTTCCAAGTGCTGGGATTCAAGGTGAGCACCATTAAGCTTAGCTTAATTATTTTATGTATGTGAGTGGATACCACTTGTTTGCAGGTATTTGTGAATGCCAGAGAGTACTCCCTAGTGCTGGGAACAAAACTGAAGGCAAGTATGTTTAGTAGATGAACCATCCCTCCAGTCCATTAAATATCTTTCAAAAAGTGGATTGACAGGCTGGGTTGGGATGGGTAGGGCCATGAGAATAAGCTTTGAAGAATATAAGTTCTTTCCAGGTGGCATCTTGTCCATACACCACCTCCAAAAGGGGTCAGTGTTTTCCACTTGAGATTATTTAGTGCTTTGAAATGTCTGGGGTTTTATGATAGGCTTTTTTAAAAATTTTTCTGAAGTTGGAGGTAAGTTTAGTCAATTTTATTTACTATGGACTTTGTCTTAGTGGTAATGAAACATGACCAAGGCAACCTAAAAGCATTTCATTGGGTTTACGGTTACAGAGCGTTAGAGTTCATGATGGTAGAGCAAAGTGAGAACAACTGAGAGCTCACATCTCAATACTGACAACATGAGGCAGAGAGCACCCGAGTGTGGATGCATGCCTTTAATCCCACCTCTAAACTTGTGTCAGTTGAGGTGGTTTGAATAATCCTTCAAGTTTAATGTGCAGATTATCTACTAATTTAATAACCCAAATCCATGATTAGGATCAGGAGTTTTTTTGGGTTTCTGGTATTTTTAAGTTTTGGAATATTCATATTTGTATTTTGGGGTTGGAAACGTGAAATTCTCTTGTTCCACATATACCTTCGGTATGTGTAATTTCATGCATTCATAATGTTCTTGTGTTTTGATGGTGACATGCCAGTGTGAGGTCACATGTTGACTTAACTTTTTTTTTTTTTTGGTTTTTGGAGACAGGGTTTCTCTGTGTAGCTTTGCGCCTTTCCTGGAACTCACTTGGTAGCCCAGGCTGGCCTCGAACTCACAGAGATCCGCCTGGCTCTGCCTCCCGAGTGCTGGGATTAAAGGCGTGCGCCACCACCACCCGGCGACTTAACTATTTTTTGAAATGGACCCTTACTATAGCATAAGATGGCTTTGAACTTGTGATCTACTACCTGTTGAGTACTAAGATTATAGGCATGGGTCTACTACCTACCTGACTACTAGAAGTTGCTTGCTTGCTCTCTCTTCCTTTCTAACTCTTTCTTCTTTCCTTCTTTTCTTCCTTCTTCCTTATTTAACGGGATTGGGAGTTTCCTTTATCCCAAGGAGTACTGGTTCAGTTCCTGCCTTGTTCCTACCCTGACTTCTTTCTCATCATGATGACCTGAGCAGCACATGTAAGCCAAATAAAGCCTTTCCTCCACAAGTTGCTTTTGGTCATGGTGTTTATCACAGATAATAGACACCTAACTAGGATACCAGTTACCATACAGGAGAGATGACCCAGACACACATTCTCTGCCTGACTTTTCCTAAGATTCATCTTTAAATATTTTTAATTATGTATATACATGTGTGTCTGGGAGTGTGTGCGTGTTTGTGGCCAGAAGCTTTGGATCACTCTGGAGGTGGAGTTACAGGTGGTTTTGAGCTGCTTGATGTGGGCACAAGATCAGTGTGTGCTCTGACCCACTGAACCATCTCTCCAGCCCTGACTTCTTATGACAGCTCCACAGTCCCTGCACTGTTCTCGTTCCTGCCTCAAGTTGTACTTCCCCCAGCCTCTCACTATGTTATATTGTTTCTGCCAGTAAACATAGCTATCTTCATTTTTTTAGGTTTACATATTTTATGTATGAGTGTTTTGCCTTCATGGATATATATACCATGTGTGTACTGTGAATGATTGTGAGCCAACATGTGGATGCTGAAAACCAAATCTAGATGCTTTGCAAGAACAGTAAGTGCTCTTAACGGCTGAGTTATTTCTTCAATGCCCCCCCTTTTTCTAATTTTAATTTTTTAAAGACTGCCTGAGCAAGATCAGCACACACTGATCTTGTAGAGGTTGGTTTGGTCCCTTGCACCCTCATCAAGCAGCTCGAAACCACCTGTAACTCCACCTCCAGGGTGATCCAAAGCTTCTGGCCACATACATGCACACACCCCTAGACACACATGTATATACATAATTAAAAATAATAAAGATAAATCTTAGGAAGAGGAAGTTAGGCAGAAAATGTGTGCTTGGATCATCTCTTCTGTATGTTAATTGGAATCATGAGCTCTGGCTGTCCTGAAACACTAGACCAGGCTTCTGCCTCCTAATTGCTAGGATTAAGGTGTATGCTACTATACCCATCCTATATACAAATTTTTGTAAGTAGCACAAGCCTAGCTTAGGCTGGCTTTTATTGTTCAAAGATGGCTTTTATTCTTGTTCAAAGACTGAAGCTTGACTAGATTGAGAAGGAAGGTCTATCAGTTTGAATAGTCGTATATAGTCCACCTGTAGTCCCAGCACGTGGGTGGAAGACATGGGAAAATGTGATGCAGTGAGTCTTAAAAGTTTTTGAGCCTGGCACACCTTTAATCTCAGCACTCAGGCAGAAGCAGGCAGATCTCTGAGTGGAAGGCCAGCCTGCTCTGTATAGACCCTGTCTCAATAAAGCCAACCTGGCCCCCCCAAAACCTAAAAGTTTCAGATTTGTCTTTTTTGTAACTAATTTTTGTTAGGTTGGGCGTCGATAAGAGTTTGGTGTAGCTGGGCAGTAGTGGCACACACCTTTAACCCCAACACTCAGGAGGCAGAAGCAAGGGAATGTGTACAGAGTGAGTTCCAGGGTTACACAGAAACCCTGTCAGAGGGGGTAGATCTTAAAGAGTTCGGCATAAACTATGATGTTGGGAATTTCTGTGGGACTCCTGGTTGGGACTATTGGTGAACATTAGATTGAGTTTTGTCACTTTGTCTAGTGCCTTCAAAGCTCCTCCTTTGTGGCCTGACTGTTTGATCTGACCAGTGGCTGTCTAGTTCTTGCTTGTAGTGTTCTGAACGTCTAGCTCTGGGATGTGCTCCAATGCACTGGAGATGTGGGGGGCTGCTTTGTGGGTTAGCTTTACATACCACCAAGACTGGAAGGTAATTTTAGATGGATGGTCTTCCATGTAGTAGGCAGCGCAGGCACCCAGATGCAATTAAATGACCTATTAGAAAGAGTTATTGACACTAATGTGCATTTCCCAGTGCTGTTAAGAGATGAGCTAGGTCTTACTATTCTTACTTTGCAGAGGGATACTGAGGGTACAGCTTTCATCATAGTAAGACCAGGAGCTGGGTTTGACTTTCCATCCTTTAGAACTTTTACTCAAACCACTATGTTATGTCCTAAATCTAAGACTTCTAGAACTGAATTCTTCCCTACTTCTAGGGAAAAAATACAAAGAGGAAGGGGAGTCCCCAAGATCTGATTGTGTGTGTGTGTGTGTGTGTGTGTGTGTGTGTATGTGTATGTGTGTTCTAAGCACCAGGGCCAGGGCTTATATGTGGAGGTCAAAGGACAACCTAGGGTGTTGGTGCTTGCTTTCTACCATGTTTGAATTAGGGTCTCATGACCAGTCTGGGAGCTTCCAGGCATTCTCTGCTTCCCATTTTACCAAAGAGGTTAGTTGTTGGTTTGTTTCCAGCTTATATATAGGTTCTGGGGTCTGACTTCAGATCCTTACCTTTGTTCAGCAAGTACTTTACTCTCTCACCTCTACCCCCAGCCATCTCCTTAGCCCTCGGGAAAACTATTAACTACGCTGCTTCAGGCTGGGCATAGTGGCACAAGCCTTTAATCTGAGCACTCGAGGAAGAGACAGATGGATCTTGAGTTCAAGGACAGTCTGGCCTATATATCGAATTCCAGGACAAATAACACCCCCCAAAACAAACAAAACCAAAGAAACATTGCTTTGGAACTATTTTTTTATTTTTTTTTTTCAAGACAGGGTTTCTCTGTGTAGCTTTGCGCCATTCCTGGATCTCATTCTGTAGACCAGGCTGGCCTCGAACTCACAGAGATCCGCCTGGCTCTGCCTCCCGAGTGCTGGGATTAAAGGCGTGCGCCACCACCGCCCAACTGGAACTATTTTTTTTAAGGATTTATTTAAAAAAAACTTTTTTGAGACTGGTACTTACTATGTAATTCTGACTGAATGGCTGTCCTAGAACTCAGAGATCTGCCTGCTTATGTCTCCCAAGTGTTTTTTCTTTTTAAACAGAATTCTTTATTGATTCTTTGGGAATTTCACATTCACCCTAATCCTGCTCACTTCCAGTCCATTCGTATCTATCTCTACTCATGCAGCATGACCCCCCCAAATTAATTCAAAACAAAACAAATCACCTCGCTCTTCTAACACCTCTTCATTCAATTCTAGTGGCATCGGAAGCTGTAGTGTGTCACACAGTAGACCCTTTTGTCCAATCAGCTTTACTTGCAAATGTTCATTTCAATGAGTCCTTGGTCTGGTCAAGGCCTCTAGCACACTATCATCACTGGACCCTCACTGAAACGCCTCTTGGATATCCTGCTGCTGCCCCGAGATCCTGTGGGAATTGTTCTGCTGACCAGTCCCTTTACTTATTCCAGCAGGTCATAGATGGGGCAGATGTTAGGGTGGGCTGACCCAAGGTCCAGGATGTGGGTCTGGGTGGTAGCTGAACTGGTTGGTTTGGACCACTGGGACTGTCAACCTCAGGTGAGGGGCAGAGCCAGCTCTCCTAGGCCTATGCCATCAGGGTCAGCAGCTCTCCATGCATGTGGTGAGTGGTGGGGCCATCTCTCCAGAGTGGGAGTGGATTGGTGGAGGGAGGCAGCTCCTGCTACAGTGTCCACGAGGGGGCAGGGCTGTTGGCACAGCTCTCGGATTTCATACGCATGGTTCCTATGACCCACTCTGGTAACACAGGCCATGGATATTATCACTAACCCCAGCTACAGCAGTGGCTCGGGCGCAGGTGTCACTATGGCCCCGGTGGCAGCACAGGCCACCTGGATCAGTATGGCCCCAGTGGCAGCAATGCCCTCAGATACCAACATGGTCTGCTGTCCAGACCTGGCCATTCGCACAGACCCTGGCTGCTGCTTAACCATGGACCCAGACATGGCCCACATTGGCAACTCAGGCCCAGAAGACACCATGACCCTGTGTGGCAGCGTGGGCCACCCAGATCAGCATGGCTCTAGTGGTAACAGCCCTCAGACACCAACATGGCCACAGGTTGTGCCCTAGACCTGGGCATCCACGTGGCCTTTGGTGGTACCATGGGGCATGGACATCAACACAGAACCTGGCTGTGGGAGAACCATGGTCCCCAGCAGCAGCCTGGGCTCTGATGTCACTATGACCCCAGGTGGCAGGATAGGCCACTGAGATTGACATGGTTCCAGCAGCAGCCGAGTGGCCCTCAGACACCAATGTAGCCCCAGGTGGTGCCTCAGACCCCTGGCATTGACATGGCCTTTGATGGTATCAACAGCCACAGACATTAACACAGATCTGGCTGCCATAGAACTACAGACCCAGACATGGCCCTTGGCAGCAGCCTTGGCCCAGATGACACCATGGCCCCATATGATAGTGCAGGCCACTCAGATTGGTGTGGCCCCAGTAGTGGTGCCATGGCCTTGGGTGCCAGCATGGCCTCATTGTGGGCCTAGACCCCAGGCATCTGTGTGGCCTTTGGTGGCACCACAGGCCATGGACATCAACAAAGACCCAGCCGTGGTCCTCAGCAGCCTGGGCTCAGATGTCATCAGGGCATCTTGTGGCAGTACAGGTCACTCGGATCTTTATGGACCCAGCTGCAGCATGACTCTCAGATCCCTATCTTGCATCGGGTGACTGATCCTGTGTTACTGCATGGCCTTTGGTGATATCAGGAGCCATGACGAAGATTATTTAAATTTTTTTTTATTTTATTATGGATGCTTTTTGCATGTCTGTACACCACATGCATGCAGTACCTGCTAAGGCCAGAAGAGGGCATCAAATTCCCGGGAACAGGCATTACAGACTGAGCCTTCACATGGGCACTATATTGAACCTGGTCCCTCTGGAAGAGCTGACTGCTGAGTCGTTCGTCCAGCCTCAAGGGCTTATCCATTTTAAAGAAAATTTAAAAATGTATTTTGTGTGTGTGTATGTGAGCACGTATGTCTGTACTTAGAGGCTTGAGGACAAACTTTTGGGAGTCAGTTCTTCCTGTTGCTGTGCTGCAAATTAGCCTGTGAGCTTCAGGGCCATTCTATCTCTGCCTCCCATCTGTACTCTCATGCCTCTGTCTCCACAGTGCTGGGACTAACAGGTGTTCTCATGAGGGGTGGGAACAAACCCAGGGTTCAGGTTGGTAGACAAGCCCTCTAGAGTGGGGTTCCATCCCCAGCCCTAAGGCTACTCTTGCAAAAGTATTATTTATGGTCCTGTCTGATGGAACCATTAGGTTCCTGTGGAGTTACATTTTCTCGGTCAGGCTCTTAACATCCCTGTATCCCTGGCTGGCCTGGAACACTGTAGACCAGGCTGGCTTGGGTAGTGATGGGTCAAAGGCATGTGCCACCATGCCTAACAAGTTTATATGAAAATTAAAAAAAAATAGGAATTAGGAAAAAAATTTGTTTTATAATGACAGGCCCAGTCTATTAGAAGGGTTCCTTGTGAAAATATACTGTGGCAATGGTTTACTTTACCATGGAGACACTGGGAAATGTTTTCTGAGCCAGTAGGTGTGCCCTTGAGCATGCTGGGACAAGTAGATTTCAAGACTTTCCAGAGTTGTATGCCAAGTGTGTAAGTAGTGCCTGGTGTGAGCAAATAGTGGATATGGGTATAAGTAGAAGTGTGTGTGAGGAGATGCGGTTGGGTGGGCTTAAGGACCAGGCTGGAAGTTCAGGTGTGATAATAAGACAGTCTGTTCCTATGAGCAGTTTTGGTTACTCAGGCCTTTGGAGGGGGACTGGAAGTAGAGAGGACCAGCTGTAGGCCTGTTTCAGCTAAGAGGTTAGACCAAGTCTGATAGAGGGAGTGAAGCTGGTCGGTGCTTGGCATCTGGGCTTCCTTGGTAACCTGCTGGTACTTCTGCCTCATGTGAAAATAGTATAATTATGGAAAAGGTAGAGCACATAAAGAGTCTTTTATGAACTGGTTTCTAGATGCCTCTGGCAAGGCTGCCCCTCTCGATTCTAAGCCCCATTGTACATATCCCCATATATTCTCAATATACCCATTTAAACTTTTTTTGGATGGATATGTTAAGTGTGTTTTCAAGAGTAGTCCCTTGGGATAATATGGAAACGCTCCCCAGTGGGGAACCAGGAATCATTTGAGAAGTCTTACACACTAGAACAGTGAAACCAGAACTCTGGAATTTTGGGGTTAGAGACTGACCCCAGGGGTTTGTGCATGGGAGGTCCATGATCTACCACTTAGCCTATTTGGCCTTTAAAAATGTAGCTTAGCTAGGCACAAACATCCAAGGGAGCAGAGAAAACAGTACAAACTGATTTTTTAAAAATTTGTGTATTCAAAGTTAGGAGCGACATGGGTAGGGACTGTAGCTGGAGAAAATACCTCAGTTCTTCTCCAGGTCGGTCACTAAGTAGGGTAGTGTTTCCCTCAGGGCCTCGAGGAGCAAGTCCTTGCAGGTCAGGTCCCAGGCTGGAGTGAAGCTGAAGAGCTTCCTCATCTTGTTTGGGTTGGTGGTCTCCGCTCGAACTGCCTCATACTGTTCATTAGTCAGCACACTGCCTAACAGGGCGTCGAGCAGGGCGTCCACGTCCGTGACCCTGGTAATCAGTGCTTGTCTGTGCTGGTCAATGAAGTGTGCTGAGGACAGAAGAGAACAGAGCTGATCGCTGCTTCAGATTTCATTAGATGTAGTTTTAGGGGTGGGGGGATCAAGGAAGTCCACCCACCATGACTACATAGGCGAACTACACTCCCTCCCCGAAATGTGTGGGTAGTAGGTAGGCAGGACTAGTCTTGGCTCTGGCCTTGGGTTGTACAATAGATAGGCTGTGCAAGGGTGTGGTAGGGTGGGGAGGCCTCACCTGTTCTGGCTACCCTTTGAGGAGAGGCACTGGTTGCAGCTGCCACAGCTCCAGACTCTGTAAAGAAATGTCAGGTGGTTCTCTTCCGTTTTCTATAATCTGTCTGGAGCTGATGCCCCCTCCACCCAGGGTGCTAAGTTCAAGGCTACAGTGGGAAGTTTTTTTTTTTTTTTTTTTTGTAAGGTAAGAGGAAGAGAAAACTAAGAGCCAAAGAGGCAGGCCTCTGGCTGGGTGCAGGAAGTTGAGGGTAGACGAACGGGGGGGCAGCCACACTCACCTCTCTGAATGACCCTTTGCAGCTGCTCAGCCAGCTCCTGCATGCCCATCTCTCTAAGCACAGTCATTGTGAGCTCCGCGCCATAAGCTTCCAGGTAGAAGCTGACAAGCTTGTCAGTGAGGTCTATGGCGTCCATCTGCTGCAGGGTCCCCCGCGGGATGCGTCCGTAGCCCTCGCGCAGAGGCACTGACTGCAGCTTCATCTTGAACTTTTTGAACTCCTCCGGGGTCAAGTTTTCAAGAGCGTCCAGGATGGCATCCCGCGCCTGCCCCATGGCTCTGGGGTTCGCAGCCGCGGTGGCCTGCTACCCTTGCGGATGCCTGCTGTGACCAGGAAGTCAGCAGTTTAGGCGGATGGGCGGGCCCAGACTCCACCACCCTCTTGCAGTTACAGCTCCCGCTCTTTCCTCAGCTAGCAAGTTTTGGTTCCCGCCCCTAAGACTTTCAGACTCGGCTTTTGCTAGGTAGAGGATGGAGCTCGTGGGGGTGTGTTGGAGGTTTGCAGATGGAGGGTGAAGCTAAATTGTTATTCTCTGGCTGTTTGGGAGATGCTGAGAGGCTCAGGAGTTCTTCTTGTTTGTAAACCAGCTGGCGCAACCCGTTTCTGTTCACTCTGAGTTTACTGGAGGGAGTATAGAAGTTTAGAATCTTGAAGATGTAGAAACCCCAAATCTCATTTCCCCAGGTCTTAGGATCCTCTCTCATGCCATAGAATATTAGAATTGTAACAGCTAGAACACTGAGCCCCAAATTCCACAGAAGAAATGAAATGTAAAAGAGTGACTATATCTTGGCCTTAGTTTCAGGCACATGTATTAAACATTTCCTTCATCCATCTCTCAGCCTCACATCTGGAGGAGGGGGCCTGGGGTATGAGAGGTTGGGTTGGAAGGGCTAAGGCCTCTTGAAACCTTACCAAATGCCCAGTAGTTAAATGTCTTGTGGGGTGATGACAACAGCCATTAGATAAGAAAACTCTGAACTGTGGGGAGACCTGAGTGAACAGCTAGATACCCCGTACTCCTGGGACTGGCCGGGATGACATTGGAGCCTGCTCTGTACTCAGAATTCCTAACCTGCTTTAAACATGGCTGGGGAGGTTCAGCTGGCCCATCCCGGTTTTCAATCTGTGCAGTCTTGTGTATACCACACTAGCAGTTTACCTTTCTCTTCAAGCTCCAGCCACACTGGCCTCCCAGTTTCTCTTAGTCCCAGTTAGACCATACTACCCCCTACTGCTGGTTAACAGAGCTCTTATTTGTAGCTCTTGTGATATTTTTTTGGGGGAGGTTGTTATAATGCTGGGGATTTTGCCAAGGGCACTCTACCTAGTCACTACCACCTAATGATTGTCCATTTATTTTAGATAAGGTCTTGTTTATCTCACCTAGTCCAGTCTTGAACCCCTAGTCCTTGTACTCAGTCTCCTGATGGCTGGAATTGGAATTGCAGGTGTATTCTATCACATCTGGCTTAAGGTACTCCCTCCCCCCCCCCCCCCCCCCCAAGATAGCTGTCCTGGACCTCTGTAAATAAGTCTGTCCTGGAATTCAGAGATCCACCTGCTTCTGCATCCCAAGTGTTTGAATCAAGGTCTGTGCCACCAGGACTTGCAAAAGTTCTACCTCTTAACACTGTTAAATTGTGGATTAAGTTTGCAGGGTAACAGAGGGTGTCCATCCTGTGGCATGGTGTTCCAGCAGCAGCTTTGGTGAGAGAGCTAGTGTCCCTGGCTCGAAGGGCTTAGCATGACCCCTCATTGATCCCTATTCTTCCAGAATCTTCAGCTCCCTAACCTACACAAAGGAGCCTGTCCCTCTCCCACTCCTGTGACTCCCCAGACTCAGCAGAATCAAGCCCAAGCTCCTTGGCTTGACCCTAGAGAGCCCATGTTAACTTTAGCCGTTCTGTCTTGCTGACTTTTGGATTACAATTCAGCACTAACTCTGCTTGGGTTCTCTTTTGTTCTGTTCCATTTGCTGAGCCTGTCCTTTGATACGAGAAGTCACATTTTTGGGCCAGAGAAATGGCTCAGCAGTTAAGAGCACTGGTGGCTCTTCCAGAGGACCCAGGTTCAATTCCCAGCAACCCATGGCAACTCACAACTGTCTGTAACTCCAGTTCCAGAGGATCTGACACCTTCACACAGACATACATGTAGGCCAAAGCCCAATGCACATAGGTAAAGAAACAACTCATTTTTAGAAAGTTACCTTTTCTAAGTAGCAGTGTGGTCCTCCATAGGTGTCACTTCTATGCTTTTCAACAGTTTCTTTGAGGGGAAGAGCAGCTCCGTTTACACAAGGGAAGTTGTGCTCAGAGGTGGAATGGTCAAGAGTCCTTTGCTTAGTCACTGGTCTAGCTTCTGTCTTGTTTTTAAAGCTGTAGTTGAACCTAGGGCATCATGTGTTTGTATAATTTCTATTCTCATCCCACCCTTCCCTGCCATTTTTCTTGTCTGGGCAGAATGAACTTTTCCTTGGTTTCTCCCTGGGATATCCCTCCATGTCTCTACCTAGTCTTTATAATATGATGTGTCTGCTTGCTTTTTCTTTTCTTTTTTTTTTTATATATTTTTCTTTTCTTTTCTTTTTCTTTCTTTCTTTTTTTTCCTGAGACAGGGTTTCTCTGTGTAGCCCTGGCTGTCCTGGAACTCACTCTGTAGACCAGGCTGGCCTGCAACACAGAGATCCACCTGCCTCCACCAGCCTCTGTCTCCTAAGTGCTAGGATTAAAAGTGTGCGCCATCACTGCCTGGCTTCTGTTTACTTTTTCTAAAGTCTAAGAACTTGTTGAGATCAGAAACAGGATCTAGACCCTCTCTGGCCAATACCCAGCATAGGGCTTGGCACAGATGTAGCCTTGAGAAGCCTTTGTAGAATGACAAAAGAGTCCTAATCCTAGAATTATAGAAATATTCACCTGTGTATATTTAATATTTTTCTTTTCTTTTTTAGTTATTTTTATTTTTTAATTTTTTTTTTTTTTTGGTTTTTCGAGACAGGGTTTCTTTGTGTAGCTTTGCGCCTTTCCTGGGACTCACTTGGTAGCCCAGGCTGGCCTCGAACTCACAGAGATCCACCTGGCTCTGCCTCCCGAGTGCTGGGATTAAAGGCGTGCACCACCACTGCCCGGCTATTTTTTAATTTTTTGAGATAGGGTTTTTCTGTGTAACGATCCTGTCTGTTCTGGAACTCTCTGTAGACCAGACTAGTCTGGAACTCACAGAGATCTGCCTGACTCTGCCTCCTGAATGCTGGGATCAAAGGTGTGTGCCACCACCACCTGGTTTAAATTTTATTTATTATTGTGCATGGGTGTGTGTGGTTGTGCCTGTAATCAGTGTGTAGAGAGGTCAGAGAACAGCGTTTGGGAGTGTGATTTGGTGTGTATAGATGTCAGAGAACAGCGTTTGGGAGTGTGATTTGGTGTGTATAGATGTCAGAGAACAGCGTTTGGGAGTGTGATTTGGTGTGTATAGATGTCAGAGAACAGCGTTTGGGAGTGTGATTTGGTGTGTATAGATGTCAGAGAACAGCGTTTGGGAGTGTGATTTGGTGTGTATAGATGTCAGAGAACAGCGTTTGGGAGTGTGATTTGGTGTGTATAGATGTCAGAGAACAGCGTTTGGGAGTGTGATTTGGTGTGTATAGATGTCAGAGAACAGCGTTTGGGAGTGTGATTTGGTGTGTATAGATGTCAGAGAACAGCGTTTGGGAGTGTGATTTGGTGTGTATAGATGTCAGAGAACAGCGTTTGGGAGTGTGATTTGGTGTGTATAGATGTCAGAGAACAGCGTTTGGGAGTGTGATTTGGTGTATATAGATGTCAGAGAACAGCGTTTGGGAGTGTGATTTGGTGTGTATAGCTGTTAGTGAACAGCATTTTGGTAGTGTGCTTTGGTGTATATAGATGTCAGAGAACAGTGTTTGGGAGTTAGTGCTTGCCTTCCACCCCAGATTCCAGAGATTGAACTAAAGTTTCAGGCTTGTTTGGTAAATCACATTATTTATTTATTTTGGTTTCATAAGATAGGTCCTCAAATTTGCTTTGTAGTTGAAGATGACCTTGAACTCCTGATCCTTCTGCCCTGACCTCAAGTGCTGGGATTCCAGCTGTGTACCATACACTGTCCCTTATGTCTTCTGGCTACCCATATTGAGCCTTTGTTTGGATGGGGTGGCATTTGCTTTTAACTGAAACTTGGGGGCTGCAGAGAATGCCAGGAAGGAGTAATTGTGTGTGTGATGCTTCTGAGGAACAATGGGAGCCGCACACTGACTTTCCTCCTGGTGACTGAGAGGGGATCAAGTTGGGCCAGATGACATCTGAGCAGTTACTTACAACTCAGACATAGAGATGCCTGGCTGGGTCGTTCACCTGTCGCAGGTCTCAGGAAGTGTTAGCACTTCGATAAGATGCCACAGTGAAGCAAGAGACACAGACTGGGGAAATGCCACCCTTGCTGTCACAGAACTGGAAGTGTCACCCTGATGGCAGTTTTAAGCTGAACCCCAATAGGGACAAGTGATGCCTTAGTGGATGGGTGCTATTTAGCACTCTGCAGATTCTGAACTGGAACAATTTTGGGAGAGCCTATTTTATTTGAAAAAGATGTATTAAGATTCTACTGAAGTTGCAGCCTCTTTGGATGACTTTTATTATTAGCTTCCATTTTTGAATCTCACTATTTTTCTAGGCATGTGGTAAGCACTTAGCACACACAGTCTCCTTTAATTTCCCCAGTAACCTCAAAAGGAATCACGCATTTTTTCCCCAACATATAGTGGGAAACAATTTCAGAAGTCACCCTGGGAACAACACTGCTAGTCAATGTTGAAACACAGATGGGAACCCTATCCATGTGTCACCTGTGGCCCCCAGATTCCACCCAACATCTCCAGGTCCCACTTTCCTGCTCTATAAGTTGGCCTATTTCTTGGAGTGACTATGTATAAAGAAAGTAAATACCTGCAAAGAGCCTCTGGAAGTGCCAGTAGGAAGGTGAGTGTTGCAGTGAAGTAATTAAATGGTGAAATTAACTTAGAGGGGTGGGGTGTCAGTCCCAGACCGGTTTAACTCCCAGGCCCTCTGTCTCTGAATCAGGACGTCACTTTCCCTCTCGGTCTGGATCCTTCCAGTCAGTGCTCTGAGAAAGGCAGTGTCTTGACCATTGTCTCCCAGGGAGGTAGAGACAAGGCCTGCTGGTTCCTGGAGACTGCCAGGCAGCTTGTACCCAGAAGGAAATATGTAGGTTTTAGAGTTCTTGGGAAGTCAAATGCCCCCTTCTCATTGGAAGTGCTCCTCACATCTTTCTAGATGAGGTAGGTACTCAGAGAGCTGAGCTTTGACCAGAGGACCTCTAGTCAGCTTAGGCTTTCCCTTGCCCCCATGGACCAGAGCCAGAGTGGTGGGTGAGGTGAGATGCCTCCTGGTGTATGATCCCCTAACCCCTAAAATAACTGGTTGTTGGAACCATATTGTTACTTCTGGGGTCAGAAAGACTCTATTTTTATTTTTTTGGTTTTTTGAGACTGGGTTTCTCTGTGTAGCCCCAGTTGTCCTGGAACTAGCTCTGTAGACCAGGCTGGCCTCGAACTAACAGAGATCCACCTGCCTCCAACATGCTGGGATTAAAGACCTGTGCCACCATGCCTGGCTTTCCTTTCCTTTTTCCTTTCCTTTCCTTTCCTCTCTCTTTCTCTCTCTTTTTTGAGACAAGGTCTATGTAGCCCCAACTGGCCTGGATATTGCTATGTAGACCAGGCTGGTCTCACATAAATCATCTTGCCTTTGCCTCCCAAAGTGCTGGGATTAAAGGAATACACCACC